AGAAAGGATCATAACACCTCCGTTAAAAGGTCCGACCCCCCCTAACCTTTTTGTGTCTCCCATAGAAAGGACGTAATGAAAGTGTGCTACTACATAATAAGTGTCATGTAGAGTGATGCCAAGACCCGAATTAGCATTGCTACTACAATTCCAGCAAGTCCCCTCCTACGGTAAACAAGAACATGAATATCAGCACCCCTAGCATTTACTCGGGTTGTTTTCTCCAAAAAAAAAAAAAAAAAAAAAAAAAAAAAAGATGAATCCTACATGCTTCCATCAGGATTTGAAATTGTGTTCCTTTTACGAACAGGTACCTGTGTGCACCACTCAGCCACATGCAGAGCCATCCCACTTTCTAATAGCTTATATGACCCTGTCCGGATCCGCATTTGAAATTGTGATGTGTTTGCTAAAAGGTACATGTGTGTACCATTGAGCCATCGCATCCAGAGCCCACTTTCGAATAGTTCATAAGACCCTGTCCCACTGTATGTAGATGCCAGTCGGCTTATTGCACTCCTTTCCATCAGGAGCTGCTACAGGGCCCACTGAAATGGATCACCGAACCCCGTCGTTTTGTTTTGCTTCAAAGGGGGTATGCCCTGGAGTAATGTGCCTAGCGGGATTCGAGCTCACCGGAAGTACTCTCGATAGCTTCACTGATCCAGTAACCGAGAAAAAAAAAAAAGAAAAAAAAAAAAAAAGAAAAGAAGGAGGCTCGGAGGTACTTGTGGCTTAGGGATGTCTCTTTTGTTACTGTATGAATGAATTGCCTTGATGCTTTGTTTTTGTTTTCTTTTCTTTCCTCTCTCTCTCTCTCTCTCTCTCTCTCTCTCTCTCCCCTCTCTCTCTCTCTCTCCCCTCTCTCTTTCCCTCTCTCTGTCTTTAATATTTTTATACATTTTTTGGACTCATGTTTTATATGTGTGTGTCATTCTTGCACATGTGAATATTCTGTGCGTCAACGACAGGCCCAACTCGAGCGAGACTTCATCCACGAAAACACCGAAAAGGAAGATGGGAAAATCGTCCACGGAAATGTCGAAGACAAAGGGAGGCAAGGTAAGCAGAGGTAGAGGACGAAGGACAGTAGTGAGGAGAATAGACAATACGCATATGAAGAAAAGACCGAACGCGACTGATTAAAAATATTAACAATGAGTCCTAGCGGTTTGCCCCGACTAGTTTCGGCCGGCCGCTCCCGGCACTCGTCAGGGGTCTTGTGGTCGCGGAGGTAATGAATACCTCGTATCAGTCCTATTTATACACTGCGTATTGACTAAAATGAGAACAACTTTAACTCCTCAGTATGATAAGCCAATACTCCCTCGAACCGTCGACCATCGGCCCTAGAAGGACCGGAACCTTCGAGTCGAAAAACATTCTAGAAAACTCCGCACTACAACTAGGACATTCGTTCGAATTAACATTCCCACAACACCAGCCACGTTCAAAAGATGGGTACATACTCTAAAAGTGGATCTATCGAAAAAACGTCTCATCGGACCCATCTGACCCGCCGCGACACATTTTCAAAACAACAGAGGCCTATTACGGGCCTACCTCCTTGAGATATACCAGCCCCATACTACCAGTCCACATCTTTAGAAATTACGGGTCCCATACTACATATCCACAACATCACTAAGAGACAGGTCCCATACTGCATGCTAAAATATGAAGGAAAAAAAGACAGGAGGAGTGAGGATTTGTTTTTCAATTTTGCTCTCAAGTAAGAATAATAAGGATTAGCCTTTCAGGAAATTTAAACCTGAAAGGATACCAAAGGGCGTATCTCAGTTGGTACACCCTTTGAACTTTTGGAAATGCAGACTGGAATTCACATGCAGGTGGGACTAGGTGAATGAAATCAGTAGAATTAAAAATTATACATTAGCATGCGGTGGATGGGTTTGATCGACTTTGACGAGGATATCTCAAGGCTGTTGCCCTTTTT